AAAAAGGTCTAAAAAGTACAAATTCTGATATTTTAGATTAAATTGTCAGATGCATGTAAAGTGATGTAATTACAACATTTTTGTTTTATATTGGATAAGTTAACTTGTATAACATATATTTAAATAATGGTTGAGGGTCCTGTGACATATTTCCTAAATTTGCGGGACGACAACTTTAAATTCGACCAAAAACATTGTTACGGTAAATTTATTCACAGTGTGATGATGTGATAGAATACGATCTGCATTAAGATATAATATGCTTCTTCTGTGGTGCAATTCCAAACTATCAGTGTCAAGAAATCCATCAATGTCTGTTCAAAGAAACTTGCAGTTTGCACCACATCTTCACTTACTTGCTAAGGCCAACAAATAAATAATATTTCTACTTATAAATGTTTCTATTAATAGAAATATGTACAAGCCCAATGTTTCTCTACTATATCCTTAACAGGTTCTGCAAAGTTGCTTATCATCTGGGGTGATTGTGGTGATTTTGCCTCACAATCAGCAGGATGCTGGTTTGATACTCGCTCCACCCTCCTTTTGGACATTTCACCTGCCTTGCCTGCTGTTGGCGCTGGTGCATCGCAGCCTTGCTTCTGTCAGACTTCCCTTGCTGTGCCTATCCAGTAGTTTGCCACCATCAGCATGTAAATGTGTGAACGACTGTAGTGAGAATCGCTTTGGGGTCCTCTGGACTTAATAAAGTGCTTTACCAGTACAAAGCCTTTTACCAACTGATTTCAATGTAGACGCAATGAATGTATTTAAAGGCACACTTCCTTGTGTGAAATTACTTACAAAAAGAGAGAATTTAGCCAAGATTTATGGATGTTTGAAGCTGCAATGTTAATTTATTTTAGCAGCAAGAGCCAACCATTGCACAGTTCAGGAAGGACATGATGAACAATGATGGTACAATTTATGAATATGATACTCAACACAAATAGAAAAAAAAGAAAACAAAAGCAAACAATCTTGTGAAGATACTAGCTGAAATTGGTAACAACAGTGTCATTATCTATGAGGTCTGTGAGCTAATAGACCACTCAATGCTCTAATAGGCTAATAGAAACTGTCACTTGAAAGCAGCATAAGAGAGACAGATTAAAGTTTGCAAATACAGTGAAAGGCTGTTATCTTTCGACACATGCTCAAAACAATTGATTTTTTAATTTTATTTTATTTTTAACTTTATTTTTGAGTAAAATGAGAGAAGCTTTCAAATCTCACAGAACTGTAACGTTAAAGGACGATAGTGACAGAATCCTGGTATGTTGGTGTTTTCCAGCAGGAAGAACTGGTGCATTTCCCACAATACATGGAAATACTGAAGCAACGTTTCTAGACGTCAGCCAGGAATGTAAAGTTTGGGATAAAATAGGTCAGGGGCGTCAAACTCAGTTTCATTATACACAATCACTTAAACTCCAAACCTGCCAACTAAAACACATTTAAGAAAAAAAATCTGCCCAGTCTACTGCTTCATAGAGGAGTAAACACACTCGGTCTCTTGACTTTTCTTCTGTCTTCTCGATCGGGTGGGCTGATTAACGTTTACAGCAGCGTAATGGAGATTGTCTTCCTAATGACAGGATACATCAGAGATTATGAAGAAATTTTCCTTCAAAACATAGTTATCTGATCAGGATATTTTGAAGAGACGTGCATTTTGGTATTCATTCAACATTCAGTTGTATTTACCTCTCCATCTGCAGCTGGACAAGACGAAGA